CAAATCATTTTGCAAAAAAATTCTTTCATTGTGAAAACCTTTTCCAGCCTTTGGTTGCAACACATTTGCTAATATCCTGTTGATAAACTACAGGGTCAAACCCAGAGTCAAAAGGTAAACAATCCACTCTATTCATGGACATATGAATGACTGTTAAATAAATATTTTTCAACAATCTAATGCACATGCACTACAGGAGACCCTCATGAGACTTCAGCTTTTCTCTGTGATGTGCAAAATTGTTCACGGGTTTTGAGGAGAGATGTGATGCTATCAGGCTGCTGGGCTGAGCACAGAGTGAAAAGAGGAGCAAGAACAGAAACAGAAAGACAGGTAAAAATCTTGGGAGAAAAGATAAACTTTTGGATCAGGGTTGTGGAGGTGAAGTTGATCTGAAGTGTTCAGGTTCTGGCTATATTTTTAAAACACACATCTGATAGGATTTGCTGAAGGAAAGGAGATTTGGGAAGGAAAAGTGTCAGAATTAAGTGGTCTGCTTCAGAAGTGCAGACTTTGAGATGACTATTATCCTAAAGAAAGTATCAAGCAAATAGCATGAAGTTCAGTGCAGGTTCAGACTGGAGACATAGAGATGGGGGTCATCGGTAATGAAAACTGGAAACTGATCAAGGACTGGAGACTGCGGAGAAGAGGCCTAGGTGAGAGGCTTAGGCAGCCATATACTGGAGGTCTGATGGAGGAGGGGGGACACAAGAGGAGACTGGTTAGTGTGTGGTTAGTGAGTAGGAGGAAATATCAGCGTGTGACATCACAGAACCAGGAAGAGACAGTGTTGTACGAAGAAGGAACCAATCAGCTTCAGTGGAGGCTTTCAGGGAATAAGTGAAGAGCAGAGCCAGTAGATTCAGCAATGGGGAGGACGTAGGTGGCCCTGATGACAGATCCTGTGGAGTGATGGAGGTGGATGGATGGAGAGGTGAGGTGAATGAATAAGGATGTTGGTACCACATCTCCAGATAACTGTAACAGAGGAGTGGGGCTTAGGAAATGGGATCAGACAGAGGATTACCTTGTTGTGTTTTATTATAAGAAACATTAGTACCAGCTGGATATCATGTTGCACATCCGTAATCTCAGCACTTTGGGAGCCTGAGGCAGGAGGAGCACAAGTTCAAACCCAACCGGGACCATTTAGCAACGCCCTATTTCAAAAAAACCCAAAAACAAAAACAAGCTGGGGATGTAGCTCATTAAGAATGCCAGGGTTCAATCTGCAGTACTGCAAAAGGAAGAAGAAAAGGGAAGAAAGGAAGAGAGAGAAAGGATGGAAAGAAGGAAGGAGGGAAGGAAAGAAGGGAGGAAGGGAGGAAGGAAGGAAGGAAGGAAGGAAGGAAGGAAGGAAGGAAGGAAGGAAGGAAGGAAGGAAGGAAG